GTGCCCAGAAATGGGTAAAGCTCTCAGCTGAGCTACTTCCTCACCCCATCTGTTCTGTTCCAGGGTGTTCCAGAGGAGGAGCGAGCACGGTGCCGGGAAGCCCTGCAGGATATCCTGGACCGTGTGTACCAGCCTCTGGCAGTGCAGGAGCTCCTGGTCCTGCAGGGTCCCCCCAAGCAGGTACCCAGTGCTTGTGGGGCTGTGTTTCCACACCCTGAGGGTGCCCTTGCTGTTCTTCTGGAGGTGTTCTTACAGGTCTTGAAGCAGTCCCTGAGTGTGCTGGAGGTGTTCTTAAACCTCTCAAACCAATCCCTGAGCGCTGGGTGTGTGTCATTCCAGCCCTGCAGGGTGTGTGGGTGGGTGTGAGCTCAGGGACTGTCAGCGCCGCATGTGCTGCCTTGGCTTGGCACCACATCCTCTGTGCCTGGCCAAGCACAGCTCCTGCTCCTCCAGAACCCATCCCTTGCCCAAGTCAGGGGGTGATCCAGGGCTGCCACTGCACCCACTGCTGTTTGGGGCTGTTCTAAAGCCCCACGGGGAGGAGAAGATGGGGAATCTCCTGAGTGTTGTTTTTTGCATGTCCCTAATGGACAACGCCCTGAACAGAATCCCACAATTGTTTAGGTTGTGTGAGATCTTAAACCTCATCTCATCCCACCCCCTGCCATGGGCAGGGACACCTTCCACTAGCCCAGGTTGCTCCAAGCTCCATCCAACCTGGCCTTGAACACTCCCAGGGGTGGAGTAACACCCTGAGCACTTGAGGGCTGACCCAAAGTGAAGGCATGTTGGACTTGATGGTCATTGTAGGTCCCTTCCAGTTTAGCCTCTCTCATTAATCCCTAATCTGCTTTGTACCACTGGATGGAGCAGTGATTCAAAGTCTGTCCTTGTCCTGTGCTCTCTCAGGTCATTTGCCCATCCGTGGGACTTTCCCAGGAGTGTGCAAACAGGCTCCTTACTTTCCTTTGCTCCCTTGCAGAGTGCTGCGTGCCACGGGGCAGGGCCGGCGCGTGCCCTGGGTTGGCTGCGGCGGCTCTGTGGCCACCTGCTTTCGGAGCGGCTGCTGAGGCCTGGAGGGGTGCAGGCTGTGGTTTGGGGCATCCCAGGCTGTGTGGCATCCTGGAGGGCACAGGAGGTGAGCAAGGGCTCTGGCACCACTCTGGGCTCCCAGGGTCACATATCCAGGGGGCTGGGCTGGTTCTGAGATGGTTCATCGCACTACACACTCAGGAGCGACAGTGCTGTAAGAGCACTGACTTGGGAATTGACTTCTGCTGGGTTAAGGTGACTTGGTGACACACAGATTTTGCCTCTGACTATGCTCAGATCCCAAACTGCCTTAATTTAGGGTACACCGTGATGTTTGAGGTCCACACTGAAAGCCGCTGACCCCATTTATCCTGTTTATGCGCCTGTGGGTCACACCTTTTGTGTCTGCAGAGTGTGGAGTACCCTGTCCCAGTGCCAGTGTGGTGGAGCTGTGCTGAACACTAGGCTGCAGGGATAGGAAGACCCATCCCCTGCAGTCCTTGTCCTGCCAGGGAGGAAAACTGTTGCTCTCTGAAAGCTGAATCTCACAGTTGTTACTGCCAGAGCTTCCTCTGGCCACCAACAACCTGACAGCACCATCCAAGCACGACCTCCCAACCTCTTGGCTCCTCCACCTGTCTGTAGAGTTGTTTTCCATTATCAGAGCTCTTGCACAGCACTTTTCCCCTCTTCTGTCCTTAAGTTCAGGTGTTTCCTGAAAGATGCTTGCTTTAATGAGAGCAATAAAAGCTCAAAATCCAATTTTTGGCCAGGAACACCTGGCTCCAGGCAGAGCTGGCTGTGGGTCAGAGCTGGTCCTGGACTTCTGCTGCTGCTGTTGCAGGTGGTGCTGGTGCTGAAGCAGCAGCTCTGGACTGGAGGAAATGTGATGCAGTTGCAAAGATATTGGCTTCCTGCCCACAGCAGTGCCTCTCCCTCGAGGACTACTACAGACAAGTGTGCCCCCAGGTAAACCCCTTGTCCTGGGATTTGTCCCTTGCTCCTGGCTTGGAGAGTGTTGGGACTGGTCACTTCTGCCTGAGCATGGCCTGGATGGAGCCAGCACAACATGAAGATGTTTTTCTGACAGTGGGACATGTTTCCACTGCTGGATTTTCCTTGTTTTATTGAAATACTGGATAATGCTGCATGATTGCATGAGCTGTTCAGCACTGTGCTGCACAGAGCTCTGTGTGGAGCTCTTGCTACCAGCCTTTGGCTTGGAGAGTGGTGCAGGCTCTTGCTTTGAGCCCAGAAAGACATCATGCACATATGGGAAGGCCACTGGCATCTTCCATACATGGAATGTTGTGCCAAATGCCCAGCAAAGCAGCACATGGGCAGCTCCTCATTGCTGTGAGGGGCCAGGCAGTGAGGGGGTGCTGATATTTGTTCCTTTATCATGGGTTTTCCTTCCAGATTCTGGACTTGCTGCACATCCAGGACAAAGTGGTAGCACGCCAGTTCCAGCGTGTGGCCACCACCACCCTGCTCAGCATGGCCAGGGGGCACCCAGAGCTGGCAGAGAGGCACCTGCTGCAGACCCTGCTGTCACCACTCCTGCGCTGCTCTGAGGCAGCAGGTATCAGATCTGGTTTCATTCCTCATTGATTTTTGTCATTCCACATGAATTTCCTTGGGCTAGTGGCCAGCTGCTGAGTGTATGAGCCCATCTCTGAGTGCTGACCATATCTCTGTGTCTGGTTACACCATATTTACTCCCACTTGAGTCAAGTTACTGCAATGTGAGAGCCAAGTGGTGTGGCTCCTGCCATGTGCTCCTGGGGGAGCTCTCCCAGTCTGACACCCTTGTTCTGGTCTTCCAGATGGAAACAGTTGGTTCCCCACACTGACCATCAGCTCTCCAGGGAATCATCCGTCATGGAGTTGTGGTCTGCCTGGATTTCCATGAGACTTTGGGGCTTTACAGCACCCAATTAGTGTGTGGTTAATTGAGGGCTCGTTGGTTCCTGTGGGGAGGGAGTTGTGGAAGTGCTTTAAGATGTACGGAATGGCAGGTCTGCTCTTCTGCTGGGTGTTTTTGGGGTGCTGATGTCTCTGCCCTTTGCTTTCAGAGCTGGCAGTGGAAGATTTGGCAGCAGGGACTGTGCTGGTGCCAGAGGCAGAGCTGGGTAACTGCGTGGAAGATGTGCTCAAGGTACTGTGTCTGATTTGGGTGAGAAAACTCTAAGAAAGAGCTGGTTTGAGGCTTTGTGAGCAGCTCAGTTTGTGTTGGAGTTGGACCAGGACAAACCCTGTGTCTCCTGCAGTCATGCTCAGTCACCTCATCCTCATCTGCAGTAGTATCCCTGGCCTCAGCAGTCTTACAGGGAAGAGTTATTTCCCAGTAGTCCATATATTCCTGCCCTCTGGCACTGTGAAGCCATTCCCCCTTTTTCTGTCACTCCAGGCCCTTGTCTAAGTCCCTCTCCAGCAATCTTGGAGCTGCTTTAGGCACTGGAAGGGACTCTCAGGTCTTCCCAGTGCATAGATCTTGGCTCTGCGGTTCAGGGTGGAGGGGAGGTCCATCCTTTCTCTCCCTATGAAGGATCAGGGCTTTTTGTGAAGGCCTCTCCTCTGGCACCTTCCCTCATAGCTCCATTTCCTACCATCCTCACCAGTCTCCCCAGTGCCACGCTGCAGGCTCCCCTGCCTGCCCTGACAGCAGCCTCCTGCTGCACGTTCCAACCCCAGAAGGACATCTCCAGCCCAGGAATTCACATTTCGGAAGCTGGTGACTTGCTTCCTGGCATGCCCTGAGGCAGGCTAAGCTCTTAAATGCTGGGATTGTTGTCTATTCTTCTAGTAATGATCTGTTGTAACTGGCTGGCAGGCAGAGACCGGTCTGGAGGGCTGCTCCTCCCAGAGCCGTGCTGGAGGGGGGTTGGGGTGGGTCCCTCCTTAATGGCAGAGTGCTGGAGGCCTGACAGCAGCCAGATTAGTGAGGGGACCCCGGCCCTGGGGGTGGTTCTTGCCTAGCAAGTGTCATTTGATGCTGTGTGAGAAACCATCCTTGGGGCTTCATCAGGGAGGCTTTGTGTACACAAGGGTCTGGGGAGGAGGAATGGCTCCGTGGGGATTAGCACAGGAAAATGGGTCTGTTCGCATCAATGGAGCAGGGCAGGGCGTTATCAGTGCAATCTCCCTCCTGCCTGGGCTGTCACACTGCTTCGGGCAGGTCTGTCTCCAAGGCACATGCAGGGATTGCTGTCAAGCTGTGGAGGTCAAAGGTGTAGGGAGCAGGAGGTCAGAGGTGTGGGGACTCTGCTGTGAAGGGCCAGCACCTTCTGAGCAGGTAGCTGACCACCTAAGATAGCTGAAAGTCCCTTGGAGAACTTAGAAAAAGACTTAATTTCTCTGCCCTCCCCTTTTCGAAAGCTGAAAGCTGTGGACGGAGATAGACCCTGCCAAAACCAGGACCTGAACACAGCAACCCTGAGTAAACCCTGAGGCATCTGGTATTTAACCACTTTCTAGACCAAATTTTCCCACCGTATGGCTCTGCCAGAAAGCATCCTACCTGGCTTTTAGTTTTGGATGATTCCTTTAAAAGGATCCTAAAGGACACACAGTGCCATGAGGCTTCTGTGAGTGTTTTTTCCTGTGCTATGTGGGCAGTGAGGTTGGCCTTGCATGTGGTGAGCCAGTACCAGTGGCCTGGGAATGGTGTGCTGGGTTCATGGAGGGAGGTCACAGTGATTTGGGAGGTGGAGGAGAGAAGCATAGCCTTGAAAGTCACTCAGAGTACCTGCAACCCCCAAGAGCCCCTACCACCTCCCCAGAGCCTCTGCAGCTCACTGCTTCAGCTCAGCACCCATCAGCTCACCTGCCCTGCTAGGGACTGATCTCTGTCTTTGAGATCTGCAGTAATTCCACGAAGATTTGCTCATTCCCAGGTGCCTGTTGCATCTCTGGGTCACCTTACCCCAAAGCAGCACACTTCCCAAATAGCTGTCTGCAGCATTCCTGTAGCTTGGAGCCTGCTGTGGTTAAGCAAATGCTCGGAGAAAGCTGATGCTGAAGGCAACTTTTAACAGGGAATATGGCATAATCAGGGAAAAAAGGCTCCAGGCTGATGGGAGAGGCCAAGATCCCTCCACCATCCTCCCCAGCAGCTCTGTGTGTTCCCGTGCTCCCTCTGTTCTGTGCAGGTGTTTGATTCCTCTCCCTGTGCCCTTCTCTTCTCTGTAGGTGTATGTGGTTGGGAATGACAGCTCGAGCCTGCTGCTGGGATCCTTACAGTCAGTTCTGGGAGTAGTTTTTTCCCTCTATTCCTTCGCCAAGCAGAATGTGTCATACTTACGGTAAGGAAGGATCGGGGTTTGATCCTCTGGGCTGTGCCCACCTCCGAGGGCACTCACAGAGCACAGATCCATTTTCTCACCCCAGAGAGCTCCCATTCCAAGCAGGCAGTAATCTCAGGCAGGGAACATCCCCTTACTGGCAGCTCTGTGCAGGAGGAAGCCGTTCTCATGTTAGTTTTTGTCTTCCTGGAGCCACAGTGTTCTGTGTAGAGGCAAATGTGCCCTTGGGAGTGCAGGCTGACTCTGTCTGGAGCAGGGATTGTGGTTGTCCATGGGTGGAAGTGAGAATGCTGGGTCCTGGATGTGTGTTGGTAGAGAGCTAGAAATAGGATAAAAAGTGGATGGAACAGCTTGCGTGCTGGCTCTTGGAAATACAGGATCATCCTCCTCCAATCTGGGATCACTCTACTCTGATACATGCAGGATCTGCCTGCTGGCAGCTGTGTCCCATGCCATGTCCAGCTCTTCACAGCTGATGCTCAGTGAGAAAACCACTTGTGCCAGTTGTGGTGGCAGGGACAGCAGTGACCTGGTGCTGCCTGTCCTTTCTCCTTGCTCCCCCCAGACTTTCCCTGGGCTGCCCAGAGTTTGAACCAGGTAGAAACATTCCTGGTGGGGTTATGCTGTGCTCTGGTGATCCTGGTGTGTGGAGACTTTCCTTAAGGTGTGTGTAGACACAGCCTCTGTTCTATTAAAGAGGTTGTTAATCACTTCAAAGAGCAGCGAGTGCCATGGCAAGCGGGTGGGACATGCCAAGTTCACACTGCTGCTGGGCCAACAGTCACTGCTCCCTTTGCTCAGGAATTTGGCAGGGATGACTAAACCCACAACTGCCTGGAAGTGTTCGGATTTCCAGACCCCTGGCACAGCACAGTGTGGCTGCTCTACCTCATTGACCTGCATCTTTCCTTGGCAGAGCTCCTCACAGTGCTCCCATCTCCCTTGGCACTGCCACCAGCTCTGTGCTGTATCACCTTGGCATGAAGCACGGACATAGTGTGCCAAGGCTGTTCACAGTGCTCCCTTCCTCTAGAGTCTGGAGGGACCCAAATCCTTCCATCTGGGAACACCAGAAGGGCAGGATGTGCTGCTGGTCCCCTTGGAAACTGGCACAAATGCCTTCAGCTGTCAGAGCATCCCGTGGAGAGCCTGTGGAGCACTCTAGTCATGTCTTTTATCCCAAAACACATGTCCCTATGGCAGGGAGAGGTGCAGCAGGCAAAGCAATGTCACCACTGCCTCCTCTCTCCTTGCCAGCTCCCCATGCCAGGAGATCCTGCTGTGGTTCCTGGAGAAGGCAGAGCGGGAGCAGTCACTAGCAGTGCTGGAAGGTCTCGCCAGGCTGAGCAGCAGTGTGCCCACCCTGCACCCACAGTGCCAGGTCCGTGTGGGCAGTGAGGGTGGTGCCACCATTGTGGTGGAGGAGAAGATCAGGTGAGTGCTGTGGGGATAGTCCTCAGGGTCACTCACACAGGGCTTTTCAGGGAAGCCTGGCAGAGAGAGCCTGGGCGAGCAGGGAGCTGCCAGGGCCATCCTACCATGGTCTCTTCCTTCCAGCTCAGGCAGGTGATGCTTCCACACAGTCCACACAGCCTCCAGGTTCCCTGGACACCACAGAGCTCTGACTTCATGCCCCAAAAGCATCATGCTCCACTTGAGCATTGGTGTGCACTCCCTGCCCACTGTTCCTGACTCCCAAGCTCTGCCTGTGCTATGTCTGGAAATGGGATTGTTTTTCCAGTCCCAACACCCGCCAGATTCAACTTCCAGGCTCCAACCTGAGCCTGGCTTGTGGCACTGTGAGTGGAGTCCCTCGGGCACAGGTGGCACTATCACAGCAAGGACTCTGGTGATTCCAGTGTCACAGAGCCAGTGACTGAGCTCCCCTCTGGTGTGTGCAGATGGTCTCTAAGTAGAGGCAGAACTTGGCCATGTGGGGAATAAACTGCAGCCATTAGTCTCCAGCCACGCAGGACATGGCTTTTCTGGGCAGTCTTTGCCAGGGCCTCACCACTCTCACAGGGAAGAATTCCTTCCCAATATCCCACCTGACCCTGCCCTCCCTCAGCATAAAGCCATTCCACCTTGTCCTGTCACTCCATACCGTTCTAAAGTCCCTCTCCAGCTTTTCTATAAGCTCCCTATAACTGCTGGGAGGTCCCAGTCAGATCAGCTCTGCCCTGGAGTCTGCACTGGTTGAACTGGGAATACTCTAAACTTACTCCATAACAGCCCTGACTCTGCCCATCCATGTCCCTACTTCTATGGCTCTGACCACTGCATGATTTAGCCAGCACTAATCCCATTCTTTGTGGGGTGGCTGGATGAAATATGTGGTTTGGGCTCATGGGTTCTGTTAATGAGTGCAGGTTCATTAATAAATGGAGTGAGTGTTCACATAGACCAAATGACCTGGGCAAGGCTTGGCTCAGCTGCCTCCAGGCTTCGCTGGGAAGTGCTGGGAAGGAAGGCTTCCAAGAAAAGGCAGACTGGATTTCACCTTGCCCTGGAGCCTAGTGCTGGGAAGTGCTGAGAAGGAAGGCTTCCAAGAAAAGGCAGTCTGGATTTCACCTTGCCCTGGAGCCTAGGGATCAGAGGGGTCTGGGTGTGTTGGTGTTGGTGACACTGTGACCTGTTGCAGCGATGAAGATGAGGCTCTGTACCATAAGATCTCCTCCGAGCAGTGCCATGTGGAGAGCTTGGTGGAACTCCTGTCCCACTGCCAGAAGAGTGGTCTGGCTGGAGACTTCTTCATCCACTGCCTGAAGGTGAGGGCAGGCAAGTCTCTGGTTGGGGTACACCTGCAGGAGTGGGTTCCCTAGGCCAAGCAGACAACGAAGGAGATGGATCATCCCCACAGGTGTCCTGGGATGCAGCACACACTGGAGCAGTCCTATGTGCTGGGCAGGAGAGCTGAGGAGAGGAAGTCCCTGAAGGGGTTAATCCTTGTTGCCCCAGGCTCTTTTGACAACAGCAGCATGTCTGAAGTTTAATGGTGTGTTGGAAGCTGGGAATAATCCCTGTTGCTTCCTTGGCTTTCATGGAGGGGCCTCAGCACCTGCCTCCTTTCATCCTTCTTGGAGCCCCTGTGGTTCGCTCCTGGCCTGGGCTGAGCTGGGCTTTTTGTGCCCCCCATAGTCACACAAGGGAGTAGGGACAGGTCTCCCAGGAGCCCTGGACAGCTCTTGCAGACACTGATGTACCAACTGCAAGGCCATGGTTTTGTGAGGAGTCATCTGGAATTTCTGGCACTGCTTACCTGTGTTAACCACTGCCTCTCCATGCCCTGTGCTTCCTTCCCTATAGGAGCTGACTCAGGTGGCTGCAGAGGACGAGGCAGCTCCAAACCCAGCTGAGGAGCCTGGAAGGAGTTTGCTGGAGCTGGAGCAGCACCAGGCCAGGCAGGGGAGGAAGCTGCTGGTGCTGCAGCTGGTGGCCACACTGTGTGAGAGTGTCTCGGACACCGTGTTCACTGACATCCTGCAGGTTGGTCGTGGCAAAGCCCAGGGGGATTGGCTGAACTCTTCCAGGAGGAAAGGCAATGTTGGGAGTGTTCAGCCTGGAGAAGAGAAGGTTCCAGGGAGAGCTCCAGGAGAGCTGCAGAGGGACTTTGGACAAGGACCTGGAGGGACAGGACAGAGGGGAATGGCTTCCCACTGCCAGAGGACAGGGATAGATGGGATATTCTTCTCTGTGAGGGTGCTGAGGCACTGGCACAGGTTGCCCAGAGCAACTGTGACTGCTCCATCTCTGGAAGTGTGCAAGGCCAGGTTGGATGGACCTGATTGGCATAACTGCTCCTACATCCATGAATGGGCAGTGCAAAATTGATTGAATACTGCAATTCCAAAGGCCACGGGAGCCCCTTGACCCTGGTCCCAAAAAGGATTGTTAAAATATGTCACTTCTGTCCCTGCTGAGCCCCATGCAGGAGGGGATTGGCTGTCCCATACCCTCTACTCAGGAAGTGGACACCAAGGGCAGCTCAGCATTCCCTGCTGATCAGTGTCTTCCATATCCTGTTTTTTGTTGCTGTTTTTTTACCCCAGTGCCCTGGTTGTGCCAGCTGTCTGTGGGCAGAGGCAGTCCCTGCTGGTGCAGGTTTCCTCACCTTTCCCTTTGGGACAAAGAACGCTTTGTATGAGCACTGCTGTGTCCCCACCTGCCTCCCAGGGTCTGGCTGGGAAACAGGGAAGGGGTTTGCCAGGTTCCAGCTCCAGCCATGGGTCTGGTATGAAAACCCACCACCAATGAACTCCAGACAACAAATCCTTTATCCTCCTGCCTGGGATTGTGTTTCAGGGAGGCCTCTGAGCTGGGCTGGGACAGAGACAGGCAGTGCAGGGACAGGCTCAGCACTCTGGGGTTCCTCGGGGTGTTTGGGGTGCCCTGATGGGGTGGGAGCAGGCAGAATCCATCCTTCCAAGGCCGTAGCCCAGGAACAGTGGCTGCTGTGCCCTCCCTCAGCTGCACATTTATTTTATTTACATTTCCCCAATTCGTAACTTGATTTCCTCACTATATGAAGGGTTCTTGCCCCCTCCCTATACATAACTATGCCACAGTGTTTTATTTTTCAGGTTCTTTTCCCCTCCCACATTAAAGTGTCTTTTCTCTCCTTCTAGATTATTTCTTTTAACTTTTTGTTTTCTCAGTAGCCATTTCCTCGTTATTTATTCACAATGTTCCATTTTATTTACACTAAATACAATTCCAGCCCCTTCAGCTTGTGTCTCTCTGTGTTATGAGAGCAGATATTCCAACTTTTTTTACTTTCTTGAAGTTTGATGGCATTTCTTCTCTGGAATACTCATCCCAGCATATACCTGAGCCTTTTTTTCAGCCTTTTCCAAAGCCTTTTCCCACAGCCTCCCTCCTTGCCTAAGGGATGTGCTTAAGGAAGTTGGCAGCTGAGAAGGAAATGCGCCTGTGCCCTGGGCACTGGAAGTTTGGGATTTGGTGCAATAGGACCTTGTTGCTCTCATACTATTTTCCAAATAAGAACACAATACTTCCTCTTTTGCAACATACCTGTTAGGTATGAATGACCCTGATCCAACCCCTTCCCAGGCTTGTCCCGAGTCATAGCTTGGAGAAAATAAGGCACAGAGAATATCAACTCCCTAATTTCAAGCTCTGTTAGGAAGGCAGGAAGCCTGTGGGATCCAAGATGCTAAGTGTGGAGAAGGTCAATGCCAGCCAGGAGGGATCATTGTGAGCTTGTGGAATAAAAATATTGAGGGGAAAAATAACACAAAATGAGTAAGAACATGGGAATTGACCCAGCTGGAGTGCTGGCTGCATGGGGGGAAAGAGGGGCTGGTACCCAGGAGCTGTGGGGCAGGGCAGAAGTTCCTTGGCTCTGGAATTTCCCAGAGACTTTCTCCAGCCCAATTCCATCCAAACCCTTGTTGCCATCACCCCAACCTTCCCTCTCAGACCATCCCAGTTGCTTTCCCAGGTCCCATCCTACAGTGGAACAAGGGCAGGAGGCAGAGACAGGACTGGGATCCCCCTGCTCCTGCAGCCTTGTGGAGACTTCTGCTGAGAGACCACACCAGTTTAACCATCACCTTGTCCCAGGGCTGTGATGGATGTGACCTGGCCGAGCCCATGCTGTTGCTGGGCTGGGCTGTGTGGCTCAGCCACCCTCCATCCTTGCTCTCCAGATCCTCACCCATGGGACCACACAGCCTGGAATGGGGCTGAGGGCTGCAGCCACAGGAAATCAGTCCATGCATGGTGCTGCCAAAGGGATGGGTGTGATTCAGGGGCTCTGGCACCCATCAGCTCCCTCCTGCATCCCTAGGGTGCCCCCAACTGGGCTGCACCAGTGCTCCAGTGTCCCCCAGCTACCTGTGGCTCCTGGTGCTGCTGAGCCCCCTCACCTGTGCAGGTGGTATGGCAAGGAAAACTGTTGGGAAGGCAACTGGGATGGCTTGAGAGGGAAGGTCAGGGTAGTGGCAACAGCAGGGGAGTGGAAAGGATTTGTACAGAATTGTGCTAGAGAAAAATCCAAACAGATGCTGAGACAGTGAGAACAGCTCCAGGGGGGCACCCCAGGGATCCCCCCACTTCCTGACTGCCGTTCCCTGCTGCAGGTGGAGGAGTTTGTGGCAGCCACACTGCAGAGAGCCTGTGTCAGCCCAGCGTGGGGCCTGGGAGCAGCAGCCGAGGCACAGACGCTCGCCATGGCCATGGGGCTCGTGGCTGCCATGCTTGGAGGGGCTGTCCAGGTGAGAGGCAAACAGGGGGGCTGAGGGTGTGGGGAGGGGGCCCAGGCACTGCCATGCCCTGCCAAGGGGTGCTGCAGCACATCAGTGTGCCCTGAGTTGCCCTGCTCAGTCCCAGCAGTTTATGAATATATATATATGTATATAACTTACACGTGTTATTTTTCCTTGGAGCAGTGCTGGGGCTCTGGCCAAGGTTTCAGTCCCAGCAGGGCACCCCTGAAAGCCTGGTTAATTCATTTATAATCCTAATTTCTTCTGAGAAGGCGCTGACAGCAGTGCAGTCATGTACAGCATCTTTAATTACCAGCACTGCATCCCCTGCATCCCCACACGGCCACAGGCTCTGGCTCTGGAGCGCAGCAAACATCCCGTGTGGGCTGTACTCTTGCTTGAAAATCTTCTGTATTTTTATATTTACATTTTATACATATTTATGTTATTATTTACATCGCTCAGTTGCCACATTATAGCAATATATACATATATATGAGATATATGTCCCTCAGGTGTCAGCAGAGCTGCTGTGGGGAGCAAAGCCCTGTCCATTAGCACACTGACATCACTGAGCTGCCAGGGTTGCTTCGTCCTTGGATTTGCCCAAAGGAAGATCCAGCTGTTCATGGAAAAAGAGCATTTATTGTGTCTTATTGCTGAATTTCTAACACTGGGAAAAGAACTTTAGCTGGAGAGAAGTTAAAGCCAGAGTCTTGTGGCTGCAGTGGGCCCCTCCCTTCCCAGCTGAGCTCCTGCTCCCGCTCTGGTGTTAATGGGAGTGATGTAGCTTGGAAAATGGAATGTGAAAGGGTTTGGGAGCAGCAGCAGGGCTGTTTGGGCTTCAGCAGCCAAGGGATTTTTATGCAATCATCCAAAATCTCTGCAAAAGCAACCCTTTCCAGGCCTCACAGCCCAGATTTTAGCAGCTACATCCAGGTTAGAGCAGGAACTGCTTCCACTTGGAGACAGGCTGAGCTGCCATGCCAGGAGTGTCTTTCCAGGCAGGACTGATGGCAAACTCAGCACAGCGCTGGGAAGATGGTGGGACGGATGTCCCTGGCTTGGGGCCCGTGCACAGACACCACTGTCCTTGAGGCTCAAGCTCTTCCCACCATGTCCCACAGCACCTGCCAGGGATGCCAGGGCTGAGGTTGATGCCAGGGCTGGGATTGATGCCAGGGCTGGGATTGACGCTGGGCTACAGGCATCGCTGTTGAGAGGAGCTTGTGCCTGGAGCCTGACTCATGGGGTGGGGATGGAGGGTAGCCACAGGGCTACAAAACGGGCTTTGGGGCTCATCCTCCTTGTTCCTGCCTGCCCTGCCAGGAGCATCCGGATGAGCAAACCCCCGTTGTGGTGGTGCCAGCGCTGCTTCTGTCCCTCCACAGCTCCAATCCAGTGACTTCACGGTGCTGAAGCGGCTGGTGCCGCTGCTGGAGGAACTGTCCCACACCTACCCTGACCCCCTCACCCAGGAGTTGGCCTCGGACCTGCGCATCGCCATCTGCACTCACGGTGCCTGCTCCCCCGGCATGGTGGGCGCTGCTGCTGACAGCCTGCTGAGGAGGAGGCCAGGGGTGAGAGCACAGAGTCCTGCTGGTACTCCTGGTGCAGCTTCCAGCCCAGGGGGCAGCCAGGCACCACAACAGCATGGACACAGCAGCCCCTTGACTCCTGGGAAGAGGAGAGAGGAGCAGAGCACATGCCATGAGCCCATGGGCACTAGTGCCACTCCAGTCCCAAGTGCTGACAGCCAGGCCCTGGCCGGACTCCAGGAGCTGCTGGTGTCAGCTTATGACCCCCAGCCCCCGAGCCGGGCAGCTGCCCTGCGCCACCTCACTAGCCTGGTCATCCAGAGGGATCCACAGGCACTTCGGCTTCAGGAGAAGATCCTGCAGGTACTGGGCTGCTGCCACGGTCCCCATCCCCTGCCATGGTCCCTGTCCCCTGCCACAGTGCAGAGCTGGCACTGAGTGTGCCATTGGGCTGGAGATGCTCCTGATTATCACAGCCCTCCAGTCTAGGGTCACTGCTGATGGCACTTCCCCTTCCTTCCAGGTGTTCCTGGAGAATGTGCAGCACGAGGATGCCTTTGTCTACCTCTCGGCCATCCAAGGTAAATGATTCCTGTTGGGGTGAGTGCTGGCACTTCATCAGGGAAGGTTCTGTGCTGGGGGCTCTGGACAGTGAGAGTGAAGAGCAGCAGAACCGTGGCTGGGTTGGGGGCTTGGCACCTTCTGCCCTCCAGGATTGTGATTTCATGCTGTTTGGTTGAGCCTGGAGCCACATGTGGGCTCCATACCAAGTTCCTGAAGCCCCAGGCTTCATCTCCCAGTTATCCTTACTCCCTGGAGCTGGTCAGCATCCCTGTGGCAGGTAGGTGCCACCAGCCTGGGGCTGCATTTCCAGCACAGTGCAGGCACATCCCCAGCACCCTGACCCTGCACCCACTGAGGGTCTGCTCAGCCGACGCTGGCAGAGGAGCCAGGCCATGGGCACCCACTGGTCCTCTCTCCAGGCTCTGCCACGTCCATCCCCATGGCCAAGGTGGCAACTCGTGAGAACTCACACCACTTCTCAGGAAAACCTCAGTGCTTGCTCTGGCACAATCAGCACAGCCTTGTGGGATCCACAGGCAGGTGACTTCACACTGGGTTGACACATGTGTCCTGTGTGACAGCTGTGGGTCAAGTCTGCTGTGTTCCATGGAAGGGAGGTGCTCTTCCCTTAGCCCACAGCAGTGCCTGGGCTGCTACTGTTGGGTTGGTAACCATCAGCAGCAGCTGGGAGAGGAGCTTATCCTGTGCTTCCCACTGCCTGTAGAGTCTTGAGAGGGACAGGTCTGTCCTTGCTCTGCGGCTGAAACACAAGCCCTGTAACTGAGTGGGTGATTAATGTTCCAGCTGCTGCCACGTTGATTAACCCTGAAACAGTTCCTTGCAGAGGTGACTCACCCAGCCAATGGCAGCAGCACCTGTGCCATGCCAAGCTGTGCCAAGCCATGCCGTGCCATGCTTGGGTCTAGTTTACCATGTCATTGGGCTGGTGGCTGTGCCAACTGGGTCCCTACAGCCTCACACACTCCCCACCACAGTGGCAGGGCAGGGCCTGGGCTGGTTGTCATAAACACAGGTTGTCATGGAGGTGGGCTCCAGTTGAGGTATTGCTGCTGTACTGGGCACTGGTGAGGCACCTGGGATCAGCTTTAGGCTTCTTAGGACAAGGCAGACATTGAGGGACTGGAGCACAAGTGTGATGAGGAGCAACTGAGAGAGCTGGGAGGGTCAGCCTGGAGAAAAGGAGGCTCAGGGGGACCTTCTCACTCTCTATAACTCCCTGACAGGATGTGCAGCCAGATGAGGGTTGGGCTCTGCTCCCAGGGGACAAAGGACAGGACAAGACAAAACAGCTTCAAGTTGCACCAGGGAAGGTCTAGATTGGATATTCGGCATATTTCTTCATGGAAAGGGTTGTCCAGCCCTGGCACAGCAGCCCAGGGCAGTGGTGGAGTCACCATCCTTGGAAGCATTCAAAAACCATGTGGATGTGGCACTTGGGGATATGGTTAGTTAGCCTTGGCAGTGCTGGGGGAATGGGCTGGGGGAATGGTTGGACTCAATGATTTTAGAGGGCTTTTCCAACCCAAAGGATTCTGTGATAAGGTGAGGCCAGAGGAGAGGTTGCTGTCTTGCTGGATATGCCCTGACTTGCAGAGGGTAACCCACACCGTGCACCCTCAGATAACCATGGGGGTGAAGCACCTGGAGACCTGGAGCTGGAGTTCACCGTGACTCAGCGCTTGGCACTGCCGGGGCAGCCTCTGCCACTCTCCCTGGAGAGCAACCACCTTTCCCCATTGGAGAGGTGCCTGGTGATGCTGCAGCTCTGCCCAGTGCTTTCCCCAGCCCACATCTTCATAGGGACAGCTGGTGCAGCCCCATGGCTTTGCCATTGCATCCTGTGTCCAGGGTCTGATCCCTTGTCATCATCAGGGAGATGTGGTGGGCATGGGGCACCCTTGGGCTCCAGCTCCCACTCTGAGCCAGGCAAATCCTACAGGGACCATGATACACCAGCACTGCATACTGAAGGCCAGGAGCTAGGAACAGTGACTGAGCATCACCCGCGGTGCCCAGCTGCCCCTCGTGTGCCAAGTCCATGCTGGATTGATGGTTGTTAACCAGTAGTAGTGAGTAGGCACCCGCTGCCAACTGCTGAATCACTGATTGTCCAGATCTTTTCTCCCCAGGCATTGCCCTGCTCTCCAGCGAGTACCCGGAGCGGATCCTGCCCGTCCTGCTGACACGGTACGAGTGCCCAGCACAGGACACGGAGGACACCATGGCTGCTGTCACCAGGATGAAGCTGGGCGAGGTGCTGATGCGTGTCACACGAGCACTGGGTGAGTCCATGGCTGTGGGCATGGCAGTGCCTGCTGCTGGGAGCCATGGCACCGCTCAACTTGGCCAAATCTTAGGGAGAAAGCCCACGGAGGGTTTTATTGTCGGGAGGTGAGAAGGGTCTGTAAGCCAAAGGGCAGCTGGCTGGGGTTTGCGGGCATGCAGGAGCCCCAGTGCATCCTGCCAGCATCCCACCATGCCCTCGGCCGGCCGCGCCAGGCTCAGAGGCTGCCGGGAAGCGCCCAGACACGCAGGGCTGAGGGGTAGCAGCTGGATGAGGCCTTACCGGCAGCTGTTGTTGGGACTCGTCCTAAAACACCTCCTCTGGCTCCACAGAGGAGGCCAGGCCGGCAGGAGCACGCGGCCGGAGCTCTCTGCAGCCAGGGAGGCCACAGCTGATGTCCGTGATGCCAGGACAGCCACGTGGGGGTCCCTGGTCACTGCTGGGTGCTTTGGTCAGCCATGGCAGAACCAACCTCCTCCTGCAGAGCTCCCCCTTGAGCCCTGGGGCTGTGACTCCCTTGCAACTTGTGCCACATCGCCTGGCCGCAGTGGCATCCCACCAGTGCCAGGCTGTGCCACTGTCCAGCCCTGCTACTGGCATGGGGTTGGGGCATTCCACCAATTCCTATGGGGCACCAGCGAGCAGCACAGAGCCCCTCAGTCCCTGAAGCCCCCTGGACCATGTCCTTGTGTCCAGCCTGGTGCTGTGTGTCCCTCTGCAGCTGCCTGGGGGATGGTGGCCCGGCCCTGCCGTGCTCTCCCCACTCCCCACAGTGCCGCCGCCGCGGGCAGCAGCTCTGACGCGTCCTGGCTCGCCAAGTATTTATAGAGAAAATTGCACCGAGTTGTTTCTGTTGCAAAGCTTCAGGATTCGAGAGTGAGGATTTATCTGGCACTTCCAGGGTTGCTCTGCTCAGTGCAGTTCTGAGCTTCCTGCTCTCCCAGGGGACTGCCATGCTTCCCTCCTGTGCTGTCCCCGTCCCCGTCGCTGCCTGCCATCCTGCTGGAGTGGCTTTTCCCATCCAGGAGGGGATTTTGCAGCAGGAAGGGAAATACTGTGTGCTCCTTCTGTGGCCATCTGGCATGTGGCCAGTGCATTGTTGGCTTCCAAGGGGATGCATCCCACACTGCTCAGACTGTCATAATTCCAACTCCTAGGATGCAGGCATGGAGCAGGCTGTATTCCCAGGAAGCCTCGCCATCCTTGGCATCATGATGCCACCTTGAGCTCTCCCACCCTGTGCCAGACCCTAGCCCTTCACAGCAGCAGCCCCAACCTGCCCTGTGCAGGGGTATAGGAGCCCTTCGCTGCCCACAAGGATCATTCCTGTCCCTGCATCCCAGCACATCCCAGGGCATCCATTCCACTGCCTCCATCAGCTGCAGGACACCAAGGAGCTTCCAGAGCTTGGGTGAGCAGGAAAACCACTGAGCTCATGGGCCAGTCAGCCTGCTGGAGCTTCCTATCCCTTCCAGCCCCATGGCTGGAGCGGCTCCTGCATGGTGGGAGCTGTGCCCATGCCATGGGACACATGCCATGGCTGCCCAGCTCCCACAGGATGATGGCACACCGGGATGGGTGAGGGTGCCAGGCACGGGTTTGGCACAACAACCTCTCATTAGCAGCTCACATGTCCTGCACCTCTGTGTGTTAATTGGGGTGGGGGTTTGGATCTGAATGATGTGGGAATTTGGGATTCACACTTCGTGTATCTGCAGGACCTTGAATGGCCCCGTGGGGGGACTGAGATGTGCTGCAGGGCTCCTACATCTGTGCTGTGGGGTATGTGCCAAGGGGCACAAGCTGTGCTCCAGATGTTGCATCCAGCTGTTCAGCAGTGTTGCAAAGGGGATGCCCAATTCATCTGCTCCCAAAGCAGCCAAGGCTTCAGTAGGAAGAGGCTGTGGGCTTTTCCATGCTGGTAGCACACCACTGTGCTCTCTGTTGCAGGGGACATGGTGTTCCAGCACCGGGAGCCGCTGATCCGAGCTTTCCTGCGCGGCACGCAGGATCCTGACAGCGCGCTGCGGGCCAGCAGTCTCTCCAACCTGGGCGAGCTCTGCCAGCACCTCGGCTTCCAGCTGGGATCCATCATCCAGGAGGTGCTCCATCCTTCCCCAGGGCCTTGCCTGGGGAGCTTGGGGCTATCACTGCTATGCTCAGGGGGTTCGTTAGCGCATGGTTGGGCTGCTGAGGACATGATAATAGGACATTTCCATATGGAAATGGGACATTTCTATAAAGGACGGGTGTGATAATTGCTGGAGTATAAAAGCCTTTGGGCCTGAAGCAAACACTCAGGATGGTTCTAGCCCTGATTTTTAGGTGCCTGCTCCACCCATGGCAGCCACTGCCAGAGGAGTCCTGGGGGCACAGGTGGTGCCTGCCAGAGACACCTCCTGCTTAATGACACCTCGTTACCCTCCGGTTATCATAATTATCGTTATCATGATCACAATCACACAGCCAGCTCTCAGCCTGGCTGCAAGCTCTGGGTAAGGCACAGCTGCGGAGCTGCCGGAGCTGTGGTCCTGGTGGGGTGAGCTCTGCTCTTGGGGGTCTGACAGCCGTGGAGCTGATGGCTCTGTGCCCCATGGGAGCCAGAGCTTTGCCCCTCTGTGCTCCAGGACATGGAGACATCAGGAATGCAGTGCTCAGGCCTCTCTCCTGGTGCTCACTCGGCACCAGTGGGTCCTGGCGGTTGATGCGATGCCAATGCGCCACATGCTGCTATTTCGGGAAGGTGTGAGCTCTGCTAATTCTCCTGGCTGTCACTGCCAGGATTTAATTAGATGCCTTCGGCTCTGCCTGGTTTTGATACAGATTGTTACACAGCTTCCCCAGCCGTCTGTGTGCTGCCCAGCCCAGGCAGGAGGAAGGGCTGCTCGGAGCCCTATGCCTTGCAGGGAGCAGGTCCCCCCCAGTGGGTGCCAGGCTGGGCACTGGGGTCACATCCTCATCCTGGGCACATCCCCAGCCCTGCAGTGGCTGCTCTGCTGTGTCCCCCCATGTCTCCCTGCCCTCACTGATGCCCCCCTGCCCTGTCCCCACAGGTCACCTGCTGTGTGACAGCCATAGCCCGGACAGACCCCGAGGCTGAGGTACGAAGAGCTGCTGTGCACGTGGTGGTGCTGCTGCTGAGGGGACTGAGTGAGAAGGTCACCGAGGTGGGTCACCCCCCCTTGGCCCTGGGACAGCCCCTGCCCTGTGAGCGCTGCAGGGCTCATTCACAGGCAGCTTCTAGAGAAAGTCCCAAGGGATTGAGACCCCCAGCTTGGGCTCCCCCACTGAAGGGCTCCTGCAGCAGATCCTGGAACAGAGGGGCTTTGTGGGGCTATCCCTCTGAGCTGCTTGGCAGTGCTAGTTCTCAGGAGCTGTAGGAGTTGTTCATCACCAATTTCCTTCGGAAATACCCAGTTCTTCCGTCACTGTGGCCTTGCTCTGCAATTCCCAGGAATAAGCATGTTGGGACTCAGCTCTGGTGGAGAAAACGGCTGGTTCCCCATGGGAATCCCCACAGACAGGATCTTAGCATCCCCTTGTGCCCCTGTGCCATAGGGTCACTGCAATGCTGCTGGTTAAACTGAGTCACAGGGGTCAACGGCTGTGGGTGCTATCTTTGCACTGGCAGTGCTGTGGGAAGTGGCAGCCCTGTGCCTGCTGGGACATGCTGAGGGGGTGAGTGTGAGCAAGACACCAATGGGTGCTGATGCTTCCCCTGCCTACCATACCCAGGTGCTGCAGGATGTGCTGCGGGACCTGTACCGCCTGCTGAAGCACGTGGCGGCAGCCGAGCGCGACGGTGCGACGGTGCTGCACGCACAACTGGCACTGGAGGAGCTGGACACCGTCATGAGGAGGGTCCTGTTCCCCCCACAGACGCTGGAGAAGAAGATTGTAGTGTTGCCATAGCAGGGCTGAGCCCATGAAAATGAACTGTTACTGCTCCAGTGTCGGGGCCAGTGGCTTCCCACGGGGAAGGGCTCGCTGTGTCCCCAGGGTGCTGCTGGCGGGTGCTGGATGGGGAGGGAACCTCACTGGGACAAGGAGGGGAATTAAACAGAGATTTATTCAGCCCTGTGTCTGTGATATCTGTTGGGGCCACATGAAGCTCCTGGGTGCCATCATGGCCATGTCCTAGCCCCTAGGTCCTGTGGAAGGGTGGGCATCACCGCCAGGGCCAGCATCAGCCCCTGGACTGGAGGAGTAGACAGTGGGGCCAGTACCTTGGGTTCCCTGTGGCCAACCAGCACTGAGGTTGTGGCTGCCTGAGTCGGAAGGGAAGGGGCTCTGCTGCCCACACCCCCAGAGTGGGCATCCAGGGCCTCTCCTTGGCACAGTACTCATACCACTGGGGGTCTGGGATGGCTGAGCTGGTAGAAGGAGTTTGTTTTCCACCTTGGGCAGC